CAAATAAATGTAAAAAGTTTATATATATATATATATATATATATATATATATATATATTAAAAGTATATTTTTCAAATTAAAATGCTTACGGAAGATCAAATGGGTCAGTACGACACCCCGTCAAAAATAAGTCGGATACTTTTTCTATTTTCTTAAAAAAAATTTAATTTTAATTTTAAAAATAGTTTATATATACGTAAAAAGAAGCATTCAAAACCTATTTAACCATATCTTAACCTTTTCATTAAATAACTAATATTTTTAATTAAATAAATTAAAATAAATATTACATTTACATGTTAAATTAATATATTATTACTAAAAATTAGAATTTAATTTATAAATTCTAATGATTTAAATGACAATATTATTGCTTGTTTATATTTTAAAAAAATAATATACAAAAAATTAATTTTTAAAATTAATTTTAAATTTAAAAAATGAACTGATGAATAAGTTAAAATGAATTTACAGGTTAAAAATTTCCCGCTACTTCTTTCTGGCGAGTCGAGAGACCCACCCATCAAGTTTGTAAAATATGAGAATTGAATTTTTAATACAAATAAAAAATAGTCACAGTTTGTAAAATATTTCCTTTCAAGATAATACAGCAATACGCAACAAGTCACACTTGAAAAAGTATCATTCGTCATTCTCATCTGTGCATGAAAAAAAGGTGTTATTTATGAAGTCATTTATAAGTCATTTTTACAGCATACGTTTCAGTTATTGTGTAATGAAAAACACTTTTTGTTTCATAAGTGTGAAGATATGATTGTCCTTTGTAGTGTGATTTCTCTTTTCCCTTTATTTTGGATCCACTTGTCACGAGAAAAATGAACAGGATAGTCCAAAATTTCCAATACAACATAAAGACGAATGATATATACAGACACTTTATAATTTTATCTATATTTATTATATATATACTTATTTTTCTTTTTTATCTTGTTTAAATTTCTAAACGATTTTATAATATAAATGTAAGTATAATATTAAAATCATGAATTTAAATCTATTACAACGAGATTTGTTGATTGTTAAATTTATTGTATCATTCATTAATATTTAGTGTTCAATATTTATATATTTAACAAAGAAATATATATTAAGAATCTCACATTAACTAAAAATAATACAATTTTGTAATATATAAATTTATTCAAAATTCACTTTATAAATCAATTCTATAAAATTAAGTTAAACTTAAAAT